GAGAGAGAGAGAAAGCGCGAGAGAGAGAGCGAGAGCGAGAGAGCGAGAGAGAGAGAGAGAGAGAGAGAGAGAGAGAGAGAGCGAGAGAGCGCGAGAGAGAGAGAGAGACCCGCCCCCGCACACAGTGAGAGAGAGAGATCTCTTTTAAAATATATTGAAAGTTAGAAACGGAGATGGTTCGATAAAATGTGCAAGATAACGTTTATGTAGAATTTCTTTATTGTCGAAATGATGATGTAACGGGATCAAATCAAAGTGAATGGCCTGCTGCTGCTCAATGCATGGGGCAAGTGACTAGAAAAAGTTAAAAAAGTTATTACATCGTTTCAGATAATAATAATCAATAATAATGATAATTCATTCTATTTAGGGGAGCCTTTCATAGCACCCAAGGACACCTTACAACTCATAACATATTCTAAGGAAAGGTTTAAGACAGTACAAAGAATGCAGTCCGGGTGATGTTTTTTATGTGGGGTGCAGATGAGAGGGAGCTGTCCAGAATGACACCAAGATGTTGTGTTTGAGTTCTTGATAAGCCATTAAAACAGTAAAATACGTGTCTCCTGTTCACCAAAACATACCCATCTGTTATGGAAAAAGAAAATATTCTAAAAGTAATCTTAATACGTTTTTTAAGACACGTAACTGTATTCGGATTACTTTCAGAGCCATGTATTCAGTAACTAATTACATTTACAAAGTAACCCTCCCAACCCTGGTTATATGTGCCTACGGTGCAGGTTGCTATAGTTTTGTAATATATTAGATTGAATTGATTAAAAATGGATGAATGTCTTTACAAAAAGTGAAGTTTTTAAATAAAAACTCAAAACACATTTGTACAATTTAGCCTTTTTTTTAGCAAACTCCTGCTCTCTGCTGCACTTTCTTTATCAATCAATCAATCAATCAATCAATCAATCAATCAACGTTTATTTATATTTAAGCAATAGCTCACGACAGGCCGTGGTATATGCTCATTATATCACAGCTAAGGGGCGTGGTTCGGCCCGACGCGAAGCGTTTCAGAAAGCTTTTGAATGGTGGTACTTTTCCAGTTGGTCTACCTGCTCTTCATGTAGCTCTGCATGTCGTCGTTTAGGTGCTTTTTTTTCTGGAGATAGGCACTCCTCCTCAATCCACTCCTCCATAGTAAGACCCCTCCGGAGGTCGAACTTAATCTTAAATGTTTCCATCTTATGCTTTGTAAGTTTGTTTCGTAACGGAAGAAATGTAAATATATTTATAAAACTGACAAGTCAAATCAAGCAATCTGATTGGTCGATAGTGTTTTTGCGGACCTCTTTGATTACAGATTTGAAAACATCGTTGCTTGCTTTAAAAGTAGCACAATTCATTATGTCAAACCCCAGTCTATGTGTCAAACCTTGGAAAGTATCTAGATATCCCTGCCCTAATGCCAAAGGAACTGCACACTGAATTTTTTTTTCTGCCCCGTTACTTCTCCGCTGCTTTCTTGTTCCAGTTTGAAAAGCATGCTTTTCAGCCCAACGGTATACTGTTTTTCTCAGACGCGGAGGGATACTGACTTGTTGTGAAAAGTAACTTACAATTCTACCCGTGGTATACGCTCAGTATATCACGACTAAGAACCAATCAGATTGCTTGATTTGACTTGTCCGTTTTATAAGTAAGGGTTAATGTGCAGCGACGCGGTCATTATGGGGAAAAGAACACCGACAGGCTGATCAGGAGCCCGACGCGAAGCGGAGGGATCTAGATCGGCATGAAGGTGTTTCTTAATTCCAATATTACAACAGAGGTATTTTTATAGCACTTTTCCTTGTACTCAAAAACTCTTTACAGACAAATAAAAAAGGCATAAACCAGAAGTAGGGGTTAATTATTTGAAACTGTGTGTAAACAGAGGGGCAGGTGATGTGCACTCGGCCTCCTCTCTTACCCGAATGAAATCGGTCAGGGTGTTGTAGATGAACGCTCCTCTGGGCAGGAAGAAGCAGCTTCCAGGGCTGAGGTCGTGGAAGAAGAACAGCTCCTGGTCCTGTGAAGCACACACAGAATATGTTTTAATGACTTGCAGGTTCAATCAGAGAGAAGCACCTGGAAGCACAGCAGGGAGTCATCACATCACAGACTGTCCGCCAATGACCGCCTGAAGAAAGTAGAAAAGAGAGGATGGTTTTTTTTTTTTATTGCTTCCAGGCTATAACAAGAAGGTATTAAATATCACCCGAGTATAACTACGTTTACAATTATTTTTGCTTATTTATGAAGTTTTTAATGGTGTATTACTAATTATTTGAGATCTCTTAGATCCTCTGCACTGTTTCACAAATAAAATAATCCGCACCTCGTTTATTTTGTATATGAGTATGTAGTTTCTCTACTTTAAAGAGTCCTCTCCTGCTGATGCTCAGGTGTATATCAGTCTGTAGTGTCTCTACTTTAAAGAGTCCTCTCCTGCTGATGCTCAGGTGTATATCAGTATGTAGCATCTCTACTTTAAAGAGATCTCTCCTGCTGATGCTCAGGTGTATATCAGTATGTAGTGTCTCTACTTTAAAGAGTCCTCTCTTGCTGATGTTCAGGTGTATATCAGTATGTAGTGTCTCTACTTTAAAGAGTCCTCTCCTGCTGATGTTCAGGTGTATATCAGTATGTAGCATCTCTACTTTAAAGAGTCCTCTCCTGCTGATGTTCAGGTTCATATCAGTATGTAGTGTCTCTACTTTAAAGAGTCCTCTCCTGCTGATGTTCAGGTGTATATCAGTATGTAGTGTCTCTACTTTAAAGAGTCCTCTCTTGCTGATGTTCAGGTGTATATCAGTATGTAGTTTCTCTACTTTAAAGAGTCCTCTCCTGCTGATGTTCAGGTGTATATCAGTATGTAGTGTCTCTACTTTAAAGAGTCCTCTCCTGCTGATGTTCAGGTGTATATCAGTATGTAGTTTCTCTACTTTAAAGAGTCCTCTCCTGCTGATGCTCAGGTGTATATCAGTATGTAGTGTCTCTACTTTAAAGAGTCCTCTCTTGCTGATGTTCAGGTGTATATCAGTATGTAGTTTCTCTACTTTAAAGAGTCCTCTCCTGCTGATGCTCAGGTTCATATCAGTATGTAGTGTCTCTACTTTAAAGAGTCATCTCCTGCTGATGTTCAGGTGTATATCAGTATGTAGTGTCTCTACTTTAAAGAGTCCTCTCTTGCTGATGTTCAGGTGTATATCAGTATGTAGCATCTCTACTTTAAAGAGTCCTCTCCTGCTGATGTTCAGGGTTCATATCAGTATGTAGTGTCTCTACTTTAAAGAGTCCTCTCCTGCTGATGTTCAGGTGTATATCAGTATGTAGTGTCTCTACTTTAAAGAGTCCTCTCCTGCTGATGTTCAGGTGTATATCAGTATGTAGTGTCTCTACTTTAAAGAGTCCTCTCCTGCCGATGTTCAGGTGTATATCAGTATGTAGCATCTCTACTTTAAAGAGTCCTCTCCAGCTGATGTTCAGGTGTATATCAGTATGTAGTGTCTCTACTTTAAAGAGTCCCCTCCTGCTGTCTGTCTCTACTTTACTGCCTGTGCTGCAGCACCTCTTTTCACCCTCTGTCTGAAACCAGAGCCCAGTCTGCTCTGATTGGTTAGCTGGCCGGCTCTGTTGTGATTGGTCAACTGCTTAGAGATGTCCCGCCCCTTAGTCTATCAAGTACAATATGTTGGATTGCTAGCCAATAGAAGCGCAAGTGTTACATAGTGATGTCAGCCTTTGCGGACCATTTACCTGCACAGAAAACAACACACTACAGGAGAGGGAAAACCCCAAAAAGCAGAATAGTGCCTCTTAAAGTAGCTGCGATTTCCCTTTTGTTTTATATTTGTATCTTACATGTTTTACTGTCCTTATGCCTTTTAATGCTTGGTGTTATTGTGCAGAAGTAGCCGTTTCAACCTGTCTGTATTCTGTATATTCATGTTTCTTCACCTGTTGTTCAGGACATTTCAGAGATGCTCTGCTTAACGAAGCTCTGTGAGAGGGATAAGGCTCAGCTTGGGATCATGCCACAGAGCACCATCTTTAAAACAACATGTCACTTTTGTCACCTCCCTCTAACTGCCTCCAGCAGCATTTATCTAGACTCTCGGGCTTATCGTGGGTCTGAGTGTTATCGGTGCTGATGGAGGTGCTGCCGTCTGCCTCTCACATGCTGGGAAACCAGCTGGACCGATCACGTGACTCACAGGGTGAAGATATGAAGAGACACAGCGCCCTCAGCTGGGAGAGAGCAGCAACAGGCCATTTAATGCCCAAAAAAACAGGTGTCTAAAACTGCACAAAACGTGATCATTTGGTGATGATTGTACCTCTCGTAAACTTTAAGTAGATTTGTATTTTGTTTTATTGTCTTACAGTTACTTTATTCCGCTTTGTTTCACAACTTCAATAAAACCACAAACCCATACATTCATGAGAGAAATAATGCCAACAATAACAAATTAATTTCATCTCAGTTCAGTGTCTGGTTTCACAGCCCCCTTCAGGGAGAGAGAGCAATGGGCCAAATAACAGGGTGTTAGTGCCAAAAACTGCAAACAATTACATCAATTTGCCAGATTGTTGAGGAATATTGAACCTTTCATAACCTCCAAGTAATTTCGGATTGTGTTTAAATATCTTTCAAATGAATCTTTAAGATATTTCATGTGATCCTGGTTCTAGGTCCGGCAGTGGCTCAGTCAGTAGGGGCTTGGACTGTGAGCCGTAGGGTCGCCGGTTCAAGTCCCCGACCAGACCTGAATATGGAGTGTGGACTGCTACTTGGAGAGGTCACAGTTCACCTCCTGCCCTGCCGTGGTGCCCTTGAGCAAGGCACCGGACATCCCCCTTCCCCCCTCACTCCCATTGCTCCCCGGGCGCTGTACAATAGCTGCCCACTGCTCCTAGTACTAGACTCCTGGTACTAGGATGGGTTAAAAGCAGAGAACAAATGTCACTGTGTGTGCCTGTGTGACCATTACCACATAAATAAAACCACAAACCGAAACTCCCACGAGGATAAACTCCTACAACACCTCAAAGTAGATGTGCACACCATCATATTAAACAAATTACAAATCAAACATTTCCTTTGTATCATTTCACTCTCTGGTTTCACAGCACCCTCACCTGGAGGAGAGCAGCAACTGGTGTTTTCATGCACAATTACATGGTTTTAGAACTGCCCAAAGATTGAGCATTATGTGACGCTGAAGTAGGATTTTGCTTCTTCTAACCTCCAAGCAATGTTGTATTGCATGTGATTGTTTTTTAAATTAAGCTTTAAAGGTGGGGTAGGTAAGTTTGAGAAACCGGCTCGAGATACACTTTTTGTTATATTCCATGGAATGCTCTTCACATCCCGATAGAAATGAATATCTGAAGTGCTTTGACAAAAAATCCATAAACAATCTCATCTGTGGAAGCCGTGGCGCTGTAAAAAGCACGACCAATCATCTGAGCCGGCTAAAGTAACTGGATGGCCTACCTGCCTGTCAGCCTTCCATCTGTGAACAAACTTATCTCGTGCGCTCATTGGTCATGTGCGCGTTCATGTGTGTTGGAGGAGGGGCTCTGTGAGGAAGTCTGAAGGAAGGGGCAGATTTTTTCCGGTTGTGTATTTTCAAATTCGATCGCACTCGAGCTGGTTTCTCCAAAATTACCTACCCCACCTTTAAGTTTCTTCATGTGATCCAGCTTTGTTTCACCACTTTAAAAAAAAAAAACGACAATCTCATGAGGATAAAACTCCTCCTATGATCTCTAAAGCCTGTCTTCGTATTATACAATCAAAATTCACTCTGTATCATTTCAACTCACTTTTCCGATCTTGCGGTGGTCTCTGTTCTTGGCCTCCTCCTGAAAGCGTTCCCACTCCTTCAGCATCTTTGAGTCTGGGAAGGAAATCCCGTAGATCCTCTGGAGTGTCTCCATGTCGGAGCGGCCCTCCCAGTAGGTGGAGGAGTTCTGTGGAAGAGGAAGGAAATATTAAAGGTCACCTATTATGCTATTTTTAGGCATATATTATGGGTCTCAGATATATAAAAAATATATGAAAAAACATGTCTTTGATGTGTTTTGCTCAAAATACCAAACAGATCATGCATTTTAGACATCCCTCATATCCCTCTATTCCAGCCCTGTTACTAAAGTGCTAATCTGGGTCCTTAGCTTGAAAGAAAAGAGGAGGGGGAGCTTGTGCCTGCTCAGAATTCTACGAGATACTCAGCTAAATGCTGCCGTGAGGAAACGCCATATCATGTTCCAAACCACATCAAGGATTATTTCTGAAACAGTATGGAGCTCAAATGCTTTTTCTCTCTCAGGTTTACCACAAGATGAGTTATTTTTTATTTTTTATTTGGGGTATAGAGCTTTAAAAACAATAAATTAAATTTGATAAAAATTAAAAAAGAGGGAGCTGAGCTCATGCGGGACCCGGCAGCTACTGTCTAAACTAAATACTGCGGTGATGAAACGCCATATCATGGATTATCAAGGATCCTTTCTGAAACAGTTTGGAGCTCAAAGGCTTTCTCTCTTGCCGGTTATACCACAAGGTGAGTTCCTTTTTATTTCCTGCTTCTTCACACACATGCTCTCCAGTACAGGTTAGCTCTGAGTGTTAGCGATGCTAATGTAAACACCGACCATATTACGTCCAAAACAGTCGGGCATTGTTTCTGATAGCAACGTTTCTGATTGGGCCGTGGGTCCACATTTCAGATATTACGTCATATCGGACGCAAATCTGGATCAGCTCCGTTGTACCCCCGTTTTTAGAGATTTGGGTACGGAGGAAAAGAGAGAGGGTTTTATTTTCTGACGATTTGTGAATTCCCCGACACACCGGGGACACATATTTATGTATAAAAGACATAAGGTCCCCTTTAAAGAACAGCTTTACTTTTTGGAGTTATACATTTGAAAATAAGAAACTGATCCTGTGTGTTTCCACTTACCTTGTAGATCTTCATGGCTTTAATCTTGCCTGTGTGTCTCACATGAGGACCTCTGCACAGGTCAATCAGGGGCCCACATCTAACCAGGGTTCATCAAATACACAACAGTGAGTTTTGAAAATGAATCAATCTTCTTAAATAAAAACAAATCAAGTAATACTTTTTATAAGCAGCAACGTACCTGTACACTGTAGTTGTGGGGGTGGTGACCTTCTCATTCAGGATGCGGCACTTGAATTTGTTGTACTGAAAGACACACAGGTCACATGTTATTGGTCTTGATTTAAAGATTTCAAATGTCAAACAAGCATATAATAATAATAAAATAAGGCAAGACAGTATAAACCAGGCTACGTAAGTGTGGAGTTTTATCCAAACAGGACAATAGCCACTCTTATATTTACAAAACTTTTAAAGACATGTGAATAAATATGCCATCATTGAAAATCTGAATTCACACAAGCAAAAGGATCTCAGCAGATGACCAATATCGAAGTTCCTTACAAGACTTCTTGAACCAGGTGAGTGTGTGGCTAGAGAATATTTTTCTTAGTTTGTGAAACAGCTCTCTCACCTTAAACATCTTCAGCAGCGTCTCCTTGCTGATTTCCAGCCTCTCAAACGGCTGTTTCTCCTTCACCACGGCCTTACACAAACTCTCCAGGTCCCCAAACTCAGTGCTGGAGACTCCCCTGGAAACAGGAAATACGTTGAGTTCATTACAAGCATCATGTCGCTTCTCTAATCACGAATATTCAGAGGTAGGAAGTAGTGGAGTACAAATACTTCGTTACTGTACTTAAGTACATTTTCTCTGGTATCAGTACTTTATTCCACGACTTTTTACTTTCTACTTCTTACATTTTCAAACAGGCTGGTTCCTTTAGTTTGAATGTGTGTTTGGTGGCGTGATCATTATTATTTAGAGTCATTGCGTGCCTATTGACTTGAACACGATCCGTGTATCCATCATTTCCTGGTCTTCTCTAAAGAAGAGGGACCAATGGAAACGTTGTCATGTTGCCGTTGTTCAGCATGGAAACATTCATTAGCTAACAATGACATTATTGTTCTATTAATATAAAGGGAGCTCAGGTACTCTTTAAAACAGCTGGGAGTTATGGGTACTTTTTACTGAAGTACATTTCAAAGCCTCTTTACTTTTACTTGAGTAAAGAAGTTTAGTCAGTACTCCTACTTTCACCAGAGTATTTTAAAACACAAGTATCTGTACTTCTACTTGAGTAAAGGATGTGTGTGCTTTTGCCATCTCTGCTAATATTGCACTGAAAAACTGTGAAATATCTATACATTAAAGGTGGGGTAGGTCATTTTGGAGAAACCAGCTCGAGTGCGCTACAATTTGAAAATACACAGCCGGAAGAAATCTGCCACTTCCTTACAGAGCCCCTCCTCCAACACACACGAATGTGCACATGACCAATGAGGGCACGAGATAAGTTTGTGCACAGATGGAAGGCGGTCAGGCAGGTAGGCCACCCAGTTACTTTAGCCGGGCCGACTAAAATGATTGGTTGTGCTTTTTACAGTACTACGGCTTCCACAGATGACATTTTTTGTCAAAGCACTTCAGATATTCATTGCTATCGGGATGTTAAGAGCATTCCATGGAATATAACAAAAAGTGTATCTCGAGCCGGTTTCTCAAACTTACCTACCCCACCTTTAATAACACTGGATGTATAAATAATTAGTACTATTTTTGGACTGTAATCCATGTCTGAACACAGAGTGAAAATACTGGCTCACTTCTGTCCATCCAGGAACATGTCGTAGTAGAAACCGTTCTCAATGGGGGGTCCGTAACACAAACAGCCTCCATAGAAGTTCTCCATCGCCTCCCCCAGGATGTGAGCACTGGAGTGCCAATACACCTAGAATAACACCGGATGAAAATGTATATATTACTTATTGACAGATAAACAAACCATTATGATGTTTGGACGCTGTGGCTTTGACCGTTTTCTTATACATCAGACATTATATGTATAGTAATAATAAGTTGAAAAGTAAATGATAATGAATGAAGTCAATAAAAAGATTTTCCAATGCAAAACTAGATTTACAGAACACAGATATTGCTCGATAACTGAATTCATCTGTTTTAGTGCAGGGTTACGTAAGGAAATGTATCTTCAACTGTGCAGAAATACAAGGTTTAAACTGAATGAATAGATTTAGAGGAACAAATGTGGATGTCATGAGAATAGTAAAATATTTTTTAGGATCTTGGATCATAGCATTTGTGTAATTATTTGTAAGTGTTATTGTTGATGTTGGCTATTATATGGCTAATTCAAACAGTCAATGTTCTTTATAGCCGGTACTAGAATCTAAACTGCCCAAAGAAAGCACAACGTAAAACAAAATGTTAGCATGTCTTTAATAAAATACAAGGTTTAAACTGAAGGAATAGATTCAACCCTTGTGTTGTGTTCGAAAGCTGTTACCGTTCATGGTGTTCGCGGGTCCATTTTGAGCCATGATTTATCTCAGTCCAAAACACTCAAAAAAATTACTATCATACAATATTGTTTTAATTACATCATAACTAACTTATAATGCATTCATAACCGTACAATCCTGTTGTAATTTAATGTTATGGCCCCAAAACACATTACACCACATATTGCACACGTGCATGTGTGTGTTCAGGTTCAAGTGTTAGTGTACATATTCTTTGAGAAAGGTCGAGTTCCCGTGGGGGGAGGGGGGCAGACCAGGTGCATGTTGCGAAAAATGATTGTTACAGTGGGTGAAGGGGGTGGGGGAGGGGTGTCTAAAGTCAAAGATGAATTTTGATTGGGCCAAATTTGACCCCGAGTCACCCACAACAATTCTGCTGGGTCTTCCCAGACCCGAACACCAAATTATACACTTTTTTTTTTTAGAGACCTTCAGACTTGGCTAAAATGGTCAAAATCAGTTTTGTAGTGCTTATATAGCTGCTGTGGAGGATATCATGAAGCCTTGTTCTGATAAAACAACCTAGAGTGTAGTTATTATATAATCTTAACTTGAAACGGGCCAAGGGAGACCCGAACACAACATAAGGGTTAAGGAACATTTTTCTTTAAATCATAAAAGCTGTGCAGCATTCAAACATGAATGTCATGAGAAGAGTTAGTTCTGCCGACATTTTTTGATTGGATTATAGCGGTTGTGGTTTTTTGGTATTATTTCTGACGCAGGGTATCATACGGTACATTAGAATAGCTGCCCATGTAAGTAAGTAAGCCCTGGTGAAGTGTTAACATGTCTTTTATTAAATGCATTGTTTGTACTCACAGCCTGAGCGTCCTCGTTGTCAAAGCGTAGGATCTCCAGAGAGCAGTCGTGCTCCAGCGGGCGGTCCAGGTCCCAAAGCTCTCCGTTCACACGAGAAATCACAGCGTTGTCGGCCAGGCCCTGGCTGGAAGAGAGAGAGGGTTTCCTCAGAGATGCTGGGTCCACATTTGTGATTCTCATCATCATTACAATAAAAAAGATGATCAGGCCTCATCGCCAATATCTTTCTAATTTATTTTCTGAAATGTGCCTTGAGAAAAGTCGAAGTCAGTTTCATGAAGTGTTCTTACTTGTTAAGCCCCTTTTTCAGGTCTCAGGCTCGAAAATGACATTCCCAAAACAAATGATCATATATTCACTTCTAAAAGTGTTAAATTAATAATCTTTTTTCTCAAAGTAAGGATAAACCTGTGAGTTGGATGTAGAAAAGTCAGAAACAATATAGATGTTTTTATTTTAAAGTAAATTCAGATTGAACATAGTACAAAAATGTAAATGATAGTGTCCGTCCAAAAATCTTTTTTACTTATAGTGAAAACCACCCTTGAATGATGGGATGGTAGACTAAAAGCTTTAGGAATCCAAACTATAACATATAATAAGTACCCTGTATCAAGATTGATGAAAAACAAGTGAAATTTGACCTTTTCAGAGAGGTTTAGCAAAAAAATCCACTTCTGGGGTCATTTGGGTGGATTTGACCTATCTCTCGTCCCCCTTGGTCGATTTTGCTGATTGACATCTCGTTCTAACCGTCAAAGCCAATGGAATCGAGGGGAACTCCCACATACTCCTTATTTGGTCATGTGTGTGTGTGAGACTGCCGCATAGCCAAGACCGGAAGCTGCGATAACTCTCGTGGCTACCATTAGCAGCTAACATTTACTCTAATTTTTACATAAAAATGGAATTATAGATTATAAATTTAAAAAATGATTACCCAGAAACATTATCAACCTATGGATTAACCGATTCAGCCGCGTTTTTTCTCGTTTTAATGCCATTGAACAAGTCTTTTGATCAGATTGACAGCTACGGTGAGACGATCTCCTGTAAAAGCTCCGTAAAGGTACGTGTTGTGATGTCTGTGTTTGCTTCCCCTGTCAAGAGTTCGGATCACTCAGTGATGATACTATATACCTAAATAATCTGTGGAACCTCAGCTTTAATCGGATATCTTGTATGTGCAGCTACGATAAGTAATAAGGGTACTTTTATCTTGAGTTCTGTGCCCAAGTACGTTAGTATTTTTCGCTCAGGGGCAGTAGCGTGGCGTGGGGAATAAATTAGGAGAAGCCAATAATACGTCCTTTCTTTTGGGTCGGGGGTGTGGTGGTCAATGTAATAACGTAACCAGATGAGTGATTACAGCACCCGGTATCATTTTACACACATTTGTATCATACAGATGCAGGACTTACACACGCCTGTTATCTAACCGACAGGTCCGCACGCACTCTCCAACTGAAACTCTAATTCATTCTAATTCATTCACAAACTAAATCAGAAGACCTTTAACGTTTTACGTCCGATTTGCTCCTTTTTTCCTCGCTGTACACATCTCCAGTTTGGGCATTGGCCTGTCATCAGATTGTATTTGTTGTTGTTGCTGCTGTAGCGGAAGTTTAGTACAATTATTTAGCACTTGCTTGCTACTTTCTAACGGCGGTGAGAGTGGTGCAGTGACGCTATCTATCTTCTATCGATTAGATTTATGATTCGAAAATTATAAAAGTAAGGTAGACATGTGGATATTATCTGTTAGGCGTAGTGCGTTGCGGTGGAGATTTAATAGAACTCAGTAGTAGACAGCTTTCTTTAGCCTTCATTAGGCATATTTATGTATATCATGGTAGGAGAGATGCGGTTGTGCTGCCGCTCTGTATTCGATCCAAACAACATCTGAGAGGCCACAGGTAGTGCAAGGTATAGTCAGTGACGTCACGTCCTGGACGCACTGCAGACAACATTGCCCTCTGCAGGACACAATGAGCAAGGGCGCACATAATGGTACAACATTTAACATTATCCGACTGAACAAAACGTGCATTTATCTAACAGGTTGGTTTTCCACTGACCTTATTTAGAGAAACCGAGCACAGCTTACTTCCGGGTTTTAGGATGCGTCACTGCAACACTAAGTTGATGCCATTTGATTGGATTGTGAGGCAAGGGAAGCCAGCCGCCTCTGGCTTCCCTTGGCATGACCCTGACCAATCACAGGTTGGCAGGGGCATGACGTGAGCCTTGTCTGATTGGTCAATCCCTCCATTTTTTTTCACCAAGGGAAGCCAATTTTGGCTGGCTTCCTCTCGCAACAGAGAGTGCAATCTATTGTTTCACCATAACATCTACAGGGGCGCTGTTTCACTCTTTGTAAAATACTCAATGAGAATGGGGGAGAGATGGACCGGCAGCAACACACAACAAAGAATTTCAGAAACTAAACAAAGTGTTTTTATTTATTTATTAAAATTATAACTACAATCTGAAAAAACAGGGGAAGCCTGGCTTCCCTTGGCCTCCAGGAGAAAACGCCACTGCTCAGGGGTCATTTAGATGCTTCTTATGAGACTTGTGTTTTGTTTTGGTAAAAATTGTTTGTATCGTCAGTTAGCTGAGATTATTCCCGTTAATCTGGTATAACACATTAATAGGTTCTTAAATATTAAGATGCCCTGAGACACAGTGTCGTGAAAAAGAAACATAAGTACCCGCCGGCGGGGACCTTGGGGCTAAACAACAAAATGGGTTGTACCTTTGTGGATATAATAATGGATCCTATTGTCTAGACTCTAGACCAGCGGTTCCCAACCTTTTTCAACTCAGGGCCTACTTAAGAATCAAAAATCTTTTCGCGGCCCACATTCAACCATAAACAATACGGAGGCTAAATAAAGTTTGGTCAATTCAGAACATGTGACACGTTGTAAATCCAGTAGAACAGACCGCTGTCAACGACTGTAATGCCCGTTGCTAAGGAGGATCAAGAAAGACAAAGGAAAAGAGGTTCAAATAAAAAATTATCTTAATAATGAAAATGTTTCCACACAAATCCTAATGTTTTGCTAATTATTTGGCGGCAAATATTGAATTTACATTTACACCCTTTAATATTTTATTTGGGCTTTTAGATGAAGACCGCACACAGTTAATAAATACGACTATTCTTCTGGCTAAAATACATATTTTTAAAAGTCAATCAAGGAGTAATCTTAATTTAAGGTGTTTGAAGAGTAGATTAAAAATACAATTTATTTTGGAAAAAATGATTGCCCCAAAAAATCAAACAACAACGTGGCTCAACACGCCACGAAATGCAATAATTAGCTCTAACGAGGAGTGGGATTAAAGGAACAATATGCTTGCCATGTTGTGTTTTTGGTGGTTTTTGGTTGTCAACCTATTTTTGTTTGTGAAATGTTGAAGTAGTCCTATAACTGTATCTTTATTTCTTCTGTTTTTGTTTTGTTGTTGTCTGAGATGGGAATATCATCTCCTATATGTTATTGTTATGTCCATGTTTGTGTATTTAGCCTGTACAAGGGACGGAGGCTGTGGCGCAGTGGACTAGTTCGGATCACGGGAGCACAGGTTCAAACCCCACTGCAGTCAGCATGTCGTTGTGTCCCTGGGACACTTCACCCCAAATTGCTCCTGTGAGGATTGCCCACAGTATTGAGTATGTAAGTCGCTTTGGATAAAAGCGTCTAACAAGTAACAAGTAATGTAATGTACAAAAAAAGGAACAAATAAAAAAAGGAAAATGAAAAAAAGGAAATTATTTGGCGGCCCACTTGCAATGCCTTCTAATAATAAAAAGTTATTATGGCATTGTATGCTGTGTGTTATTTGTAACATCTTCAGAAACTACTTTTCTGGGAGTCCCAGCAGCTTCTACTGAAGCCAGTCCCCAACTCCGGGGACTTCCGGCCGGGGACTTCGGGTGGCAGTATACGCCGTGAAGTTGTTTGCGGTCTGCCAGTAAACCCAAAGCAGAAGAAGACGAAGTGACGTCAGCTGCTTCATTTGCATAATCTTCCCTGGGACTTATTCCGGTGTGAACGCGATTGGTACTTAGTGCCCTGGGGTTATAAGTGCCGGCACTAAGTACGGCAAAGTACTTGGTGTGAAAGCGGTTGACTGTTACAGGTGTAGGTTCATGGTACAATGCATAAACTTCAAATCGAGAGAGATTGGGCCTCACACGGACACCGGAAACTGTATTTTTCTTTACCGTTCTGTTTTAATTTCACAATGAAGTTGATAGTAATATTATGTTTGATATTATTATGTTTTATTAACTAGACCAGTGGTTCTCAAACTTGTTCAATAATGTACCCCCTTTGAAAAAAAAAAAAGCCAAGTACCCCCTGATCAGCGCAAAAACTATTTGTTAGGTAAAAAATGCCTACATAAAGAGGTACAGTACGGCGCTGCACCATCGGTGTCTGATTTATTAAAACAACAACATTGTAACTGAGAAAAACTTAAATGCTACATTTCAAATGTTTACAATCACTAAATTCATGGCAAACCAATTTCAACATAATAACACTAAGACGACATTGAACTGATCTTTTTAATAAGTTGTACTTACAATTTAGTGAGAACCATGGGCTTGTGCTTCACTGAGGACCTTTGTCATTCTGACGGGGAGGCAAACTGCAGTTATTACACTTCGCGTTTTGAAATATGTTTAACTCTGTTCATATAAAACCCACACTGCTAAAACTTCGTTACTTTCCCTAAAATTAGTATATTTATTTATTTTGGGGCGTGGGAAATGAAGAGAGAAAAATATATGAGCATTTTATGAGCATGGGATTTTGACCCCTCATATAAACATATGCATAATGCTGCGCTATACTTTGCGGCCACACGCCGTTGCCAAGCAGTCATATCATTAACTAGAACTAGCTAGATCTGATAGATTTGGATATAAACGCGAGTGAAGACCGGACGCGAGAGAGAGAGCTGCTGCTGACGGAGAACACGCAGCTCTTCCGGATCACAGCTCCGCCACTGTGACGGACCGTTGTGTGGAGCAAAATTAAATACACTGAGTTAGACCTAACACACTTAGCTAGTTTATCTACTCTGGAACTAGCTAAACTAGTTATA